TGGAAAGATCTAATAGACTCATAAAATATCAGGATTTTGAGCTGTAGATGAGGTAGTCTGTACTTTTGTAATCTAATTTTTTTCTTTCTGTTTTTCATTTGTAAACAAAGGATGATAAATAACTTTGATTGAACAGACTAAACTGACCAGATGGCAATGGATTCAAATGAAGGAAAGATGAGCTCCAAACAGGTATTAATTGGACATGGTAGTTTTCTCTTTGCTGCTGCCAAAATTGTGATAGCTACTTCTCTAGGTAGAAGTGCAAGCACATCCTCTTAGCTTGTATTTTTCAATGACTCTTTAAAATCAAAGCCCACAGAGGCGGTAAGCTGGGCTTAGAGGGTTGTGATCAGCAACATAAAGGCCAGCTGGAGGCTAATTACTGTTTGGAGTACCCTAAGCGTACTGGGGCTAATACTGTTTAACCTCTCTATTAATGATCTGAAGGTTATGGGATGGAGCACACTCTCAGCAAGTTTGCAGATGATACCAAATTAGAGTGTTTGATACAGCAGGTGTTGTGCTGCAGTGCTTTGACAGGCTGGTGAGGTGGACACAGAGGAACCTTGTGTGGTTCAACAAAGGGAAATGCAAAGCCCTGCGCCTGGGGAAGAATAACCCCATGCACCAGTAGGGACTGGGCAGAGGCTTCCTGGCTGGAAAGCAGCTCTGCAGAGAAGGATCTCGGGGTCCTGGCAGACAAGTTGAGCACAAGCCAGTACTGCATTCACAGCAAAGGCAGCCAACAGCATCCTGGGCTGCATAGGATTAGCGTGGTCAGCAGGTCAATAGAGGTGATTCTTCCTCCCTGCTCGGCACTGGTGAGGCTGCATCTGAAGCACTGTGTACAGTTCTGGGCTCACCAGTATAGGAGAGAGATGGGAATCCTGGAGCAAGTCCAGTGAAGGGCCCCTGTGACAATTAAAGGCTGGAGCATCTGATGTACAAGGAAAGGCTGAGAAAACTTGGGTTGCATAGCCTGGAGAGGAGAAAGCTGGGAGGGATATTAATAATGTCTGCAATACCTGACGGGAAGGAATGAAGAAGATGGAGCCAGATACTTCTCAGAGGGTCTCACTGAGTTTCAGAGTCTCGGCGCTGCCCAGTGACAAGATAAGAGACAAGGGCACAAACTGAAATGCAGGAAATTCTGCTTAAACATAAGAAAAATAATTTTTACTGTGATGGTGATCAGACACTGAAACAGGCTGCCCAAAGAGCTTGTGGAATCTCTGTCTGTGGGGCTGTTCAAAACCTGACTGGACATGGTCCTGAGCAGCCTGCTTTAGCTGCCCCTGCTTTGAGCCAGGAAGTTGGAACAGACAATCTCTAGAGGCCTCTGCCAACCTCACCTGTTCTGTGATTTCCTCCATCCATAAAAGAAAAATTTTTTTCCCTTTTATGAATCAGAGACAAACCACTGATATTTTTAAAAGACAAAATATGACTGCTCAGTCCCACCTACCAAACCTGCACTATTCTTCCATCACTTGATTTCTTTTGAGTACAGAGTCTTGTCCGTCGTTAACCCATTCTTTCCTTGCCTCTGATCTATTACTACTGTTCACCTACACACTCTGTTCTTACCCTTCTAGTTCCTTGTCAAGTCCTTGAAGAAATATTCCAGCAAAACCCCTGGGTCTGTCTCTATCACTACTGTTTAAAAAGACTTCCCTGCCTTGACTTTCATCTGAGAGTTCCCCAGTCTCCTAGTAATGCTCCCTTCACCCTTAACTCCAACATTTAATTTTCATGGCCAAAAACCGTAGACCAGGAACTAGCTGTGCTTCTGGTTTGAGTAGGGAATAAGTCAAAAGGTAATGAAACAATTTTGTGGTTAGTATTAAAGTTATTTTGCTTCCTCTTCGCTGTCCTTCCTTTTAGGTAGGGTGTAGCCTTTGAACTACATCATGACAGAATCATCATTATTGCTTTAGAAATACCACGATGCTCCATACCAATGTAATATTAGTAGTTAATCTCTATGATGGTATCTTCTAAAACTGTAAGAAAAATGTAAAAGCTAAGGCAAAAAATAGTAGTTGCCTATTTATTATCGTGATGATTGGTGCAGTGGAAACCAAGTTGTCTTTATGCTTTCATTCAAAATATAACTTTCCCCAGGCAAATGAAAAACTAAAATTGGCCATGCTGACTTAATTTCTCAGATCTGGCATATGGATCTGTACTTCCAGTAAGCCTGGTGCTGGCCAGCAGATTTGACTTTTATTTTAAAACCAGATACATTTTAATTATGTTCCCTTTAGAGTTTCTCTTAATTAATTGGAAATATCCGAAGAGTTAATGAAAAATACAAACTTTATTTGATTCTATATCAAACCTGACATTATGATCTTTTTATCTACAAGGCAAGAATTATGTGGGATCAGAAGTCTGAATTATTCATGATGGTTTCCAGCCATTTTTTTCCCTCCTCCTTTGTTCAGTATAAAATCTTATAAGCTTTTCTTTCAGTCAAGGTGAAAGCAATATTAAGTCTCAGAAGTGAAACTTACCAAAGACATATAGCTCTGTGAAATCCTTGTCCTGTAATCCTGGCTTTCTATTCACCACCACTATTCAATATCCCACTTTCTACATAAGCTTCACAATATATAAGCAGTTGGTGAGATTTATTTGTTATACTCCTGTTTTCCTTCTTCATAAAAAAGCTTTATCCATCCCTTTGCTCCCCTAGGAGTAACCCTGATGTCTGTGATTGTTTCAGCTGGGCTCCCTAATCCAGCAGCTCCATTCAAGATGCTGGACACTTAGTAGAGGGTGGAAAGTGAAGGAGGAGGAGAGTTGTGCTTGTTAAGATTTAGGACAGCATGTGTAGTGAATTTTAAGAACATTGTTAAGATCCAGTTAAATAATTATAAACTACCGTGGTTGATTATATGAGTAGAAATACTGGCAGGTCAGATCTGAAAGATGCTTTATGAATTAAAGCTTGACTGTAGTACGTTGGACCTCTCGAAGGGACGGAACAAGAATTATTTCTGGTCATTTTGTAGACATGACAACAGATGAGATGGAAGTTGAGTCTGATCTATGCTAATGAGTCCTACATTTCCCATTTGCAGTATTGCTCCTGATGCCTGTGGCAGCTCCATGTATGTTTTTCTTGCAGCTTTGACTTCATCTGTTGTGGTATTTTTCTCTTAAAGAACTGCATTTCTGGGTAGAAATGTAAAAGCTTTCTTATTTGTTATTAAGGTTAAAACAACAAAGAGTATTTTTGTTGTTAAATAAGTTCTTTGTCTCTAACCTTCTAAAAGTAAATCGCTGCCTTTAAGGTGAAATTAAAACATATAGAGAATTCAGTATGCAAATAACATGCGCACCAGATGATCTGAAGGAAGCCTGCACATTTCCATAGAAAAGAAATGTGAGTGTAGGAAAGCAGATGCTTTCTACCAACAGAGAGTACATACAGTTCTCAAGAGGACCTGAACAGCAATTTATTTTCAGACTGCTGGAAGTATGCAAATTCTTACAGAATTAAATGTGAATTTAAAAGAAATTCTATCTATTACGGACAAGACAACCCAAAGAGGCAATTTGGAACTTAATAATTTAATCAAGAGCTTAACAGGCTCAGCAGTATATGTAAAGTCAATGACTCAAATGTCATCTGTTTTTAGCAAAGATGTAAGTGGTCATGTTGAAAAGATGTCTGATAGAGTATGGCATTTGGAGTGTTTAGCTGTGACCATGGCGCAGTACGTTAGTATGGTACATACAGCTTTTCAGATGATTCTCAATCAAAAAGCATCATCTGCTCGCTTGAGTTACTCATAGGGTAGAGTCAGTGATACACCTGTGGTGTATCGCCAGCATTATGTTTGCTATTTTTAACTTTTATTAGTTTAACTCAGCGAGTCTCGTTAAGTTTGATTCTGTCCTGGCACACACGTAATCACCACAATTATTAATTAAATTCTTACTGTGGACATTGTTCCACTTGATGGCTGTGGGACTGGATGGATGTTACTGAGATTATAACCCAAAGGCAAGGGAATAGTGCTAAATGTAGTGGCATAATCTTGCACAAGGGGTACTGCTGGTGAGCCAGCAGCCAGCTGCATGGACATGGGAAGTGGGGTTTTCCCTCCTTTCTGCGAAAGCACAGTATTACTGGAGGGAGGATGAGCACACGGGATGGCAGAATTCAGGCTCGCCAGAAAGTGCTGCCTCCGCTCCTCCCCGTTACCCTTACGGAATCCAGCCGCTCAGCTCATCCTGCAGCTTTTTTGTCTCTTAGCCATTCCATTTAATGACTCCACCTGTACAGAGAGATGCACACATGGGGTCAGGGAGGGAAGGAGTTGTTGATTTAGTGGAATGTGCAACATCACATTTAGTATAAATTTGGTTAAACGTGTAAGGTCAGATGTGTCCATTGAGATGCACTGGAAGTGACAAGTTTTCAGGCCTTTTGAAAGCTGTCAAAAGGCAGTGAAGGTCACTGCTTACAACTTCAGGAATTTAACTTTAGGCATTCATGTATGACAAGGCTTGGTCAGGGTTCTAATGGCAGGAAACCCTCTGTACAACATGGAGTCTACCGAGCCCCCCTGCGCTGGTACCGTTTAATAAGCAGGGTGAGTGGCTGGGCTGTGTCACTCACCTCTCAGCACTCCACTGGCAAGGAACAAAGTAAACAGCTATAGTGTTACCTCATTTCAGGCAGAAATACTTGAATTGATAACTAAAATTAACCTGGTCCGCAGGGACGACGCTGTGATCAGAAGGTAAGGTCATGTCTGCAAGCGGAGTCTTCTCAGCCTTGTGAGTTACTCTTTGTGCTCTGCCTGTGTGTTTTAAAAACACAAATCAGAGAATCATATCTGTAAAGCCACAGGTCTGCAGTGCTCATGCTGCCAATGGATTGGGCATAGAGGATTGCCGAAATGTTCGTTCCCTGGTGTTTTCCACTAGTTAAAAGTCATCCTCTTACAACTGAATAATATGTAATTGTTTTCTTCCCACAGGTTGTAATCCTCGGCAAACATTCTAGAGGCTATCACTACATGTTAGCTAACCTGGTAAGAACTTCCCTTCATTACAAGTACGGCTAAGGTTTAGAGGGTGGTATATTCTGTTCAGGTTGTGGCAACTTCAATCAGCAAAAGAGGAAATGCGTGGATGAGTTCTTGGATTTTGAGAAGTTACTTCAGTAAATACTAGAACTGGTATGTCATACTCATATGCACTCAATTACGGTCTTACTTTTGTCCAAGAAGCTCGTATCCTCTACTAATTTTAAAATAATAATTTAATGATATGTTTTCCACTAACATATGAAAACTAATGATATAGTTTTCCACTATATTCTCATATATGACACTTGATAACCATAAACTTCTATGTAACTTATTGGAAATTTAAGCACTCCAGGAACAATAATTGTAGCATATCTTTAAATAAAATAAGTGGTAAAAAGCTGCAACATCAAGTAAACCAGCCAGGCTGTTGGCCGTTTAGCTGTTCTTTTGTATTTCAGAGTGTAGGGTGTATGTGTTGACCTCCCAGGACAAGACAGTACATTTTTATCTGTATCAGAGCTTCTTCTGGATTCTAGAACTGGCTTTCAGAGAATTTTATGATGCCTTTGAAGCGCCATCTGCTAGAGTTCTTAGAAAAAGTGTTATATTGTAATTGATCTTGCAGCAAGACTAATTTTTGGGTTCTGTGTCTACTGTGAGTGGAAAAAATGTTTTTCCAAAACTCACACTTTCAAGTTAGCAATCTCACTTAGTAGAAGATTCTCTGTATCTGTGTTTTGATGTGATTGAAGCAGAAAAGACAATTTTTAAAATAGCCTTATTTAGTGTAAGTACTGTATGACTTTAAGATGTGTCATTTTGCATTAGAAGAACCACTCATGATCTCACTGATTAGCGTGTGCATAGAAATATTCTCATTCTGGGTTACCTTTTTGCATGTGTAACCATTGACATTCAGATAAACATGACTGCAATCAAGTCATACTAATCAAAAAGACACCAATTTACTGCCTCAGGTATAAATAACAACAGAGTGGGAGAGAATCACAGCGTTCTGTTTGCAAGTGAAATGTTAAATCACGGTGACAGAGAACTGCCTAGCAAGGAGGTGTGTGCTTTGCCTCCACGGAACAATATGGGTGTTAAGTGGTTTTCTGCTCCCAGCGCTGAACCTTTGTGCACACTTTGCTGTACAAATGGGATTGAGGTCTTTGACCAGTTTTC